AGAGAGCCAAGGATACCTGATAGACCTGCTTTCTCAAGCTAATTTGTCACCTGCTCTTTGGCTGAAAGGAGTATTTCTATTTAAGATTAAGGAACAATTTTCTTCCAAAATCAAAACAGTAGTTTTATTTCAAGGCCTTTAGCAAATAAACCATTTTCAAAAATAACAGACCTTTAAAAAGGGTGGGGTGGGATAGGTGGTATGAGAGCATTCTGAGCAGTACTAATAGACATTTGGAATCACAGTTTTATTGTGAGAAGTATTTGGGGAGTACATGTTCCAGATGAGAAAACTAACACCCAGAGAGCCAGAATGAAGTGCCCAACCTGTCATGGTAAATCAGTGGCAGAGTACACAGAAACCTAGGGTCCTGCCTCTCAGAACCATAATTGGCCCTCTCTGCTGATCTCTCAGAGCTTTCCTGAGCAGATGTTGTTGTCCCCTGATGGTGCATGCATGCTGCAAGCAGACAAGGCAGCTTCTCTTTCTCCAACCCTGGCAACCATCTGTAGATAGAGGTAGAGGTGAGACTGCAAACCTTTAAGAAGGGCCTTTGGGTTCTTTCCGTGCATTCAGGGAACGCTCAGTTAAGTGAGAGAAACATAGACACAGATTATTACAGAATGCTATGGGAACTGCCAACAAAGGCAGATTATCTCTCCCTCACTGTGAGGATTTATGACATTTTATTGGAAGAAATCAGTTGAGAAGCTTAAAACCTTCTCAGGAAAGAAGGAGAAAGAGAGAGCAGCTGTGTCAGGAAGTGTTCAGTTGTAGGAAACAACTCACTGCAGCCATTCTACATTGTTGGATGCTGGGTGCCCTGTGGTAGTAGTGATGATGTGAGTTTTTTGTGCCTCTGGATCGTGTAAATTATAAGACACACTTCTTTCTCCTTTTTTCTTCATCTGTAATCCTGAGATTCATAGCATTTTAGAACTGAAAGCAATCTTGTGGAATATATTGACTCTATATTATATAGAGTCTCAATTATTCAGCACTGTCCAAAAGAACTCTGTACTGTGATGGAGATGTTCAGTATCTGTACCGCTCAGTATGGTGGCCACTGGCCACGTGTGGCAATTGAGTGCTTGAAATGTGGCCAGTGCACTAAGAAACTGAATTTTTCATTTCTTTATTTTCATTAATTTAAAGTTCAATAGCCACTTGTGGCTAGTGGTTATCTTGTTAGCTCAGTTACAGACTATCTAATATCATCAACCATCCTCATTTTCCATTGTTTTTTTTTTCATATATAAAATAAAATTTTTAAGGTTATATTTTCTAACTTAAATTGTTAGAATTGTTAAATTCCTCAACAAACAACTGTATTTCTTTGAATAGCAATTTAGGCAAGTAAGTTTACACAGCATATTGAGATCTTCTATGAAAAGTCTGCCCCCTACGTATCACAGCTGTTAAGGTTGACTTTGTAATGAATATAATTCAGGACATTCATCCTCCTTGTGTGGACCTCACATCCCTTACCAACATTTGTCAGCTTCTGTAAAACAGAGAAATACACAGAAATGATCTTTTGGGTAAACGGAGATGACTGAAGAAAAACTTCTGCTCTAGGTCCTCATAAGAGCTGGAACACAGCCTGTCAAAATGTGAAAAATACACATCCTCATTTCTGTGTTTGGGTTTTGAATGTAAATGACGGGCCTTAAAGCCTTCACGTTGCCTCCTTACAGTCCCCTTGTTTAAATTTACCCTCATATGCTGTTATTCTCCTAGAAAGGAGGAAAAGAAAACCATTTTACTTTGTCTTACGAGAGAATAAATGACTGAGTGTCCCACATTGGAAACCTGATCTTGTAAGAATTAACACCAGCACAGTTCTCAATGTTTTACATTTCTTAACTCTAGTAGAGGCAATAAAGAAAATGGCTAATCTCTCTGTACCCCAGTTTTTTTCATCTATATCATAATAAAACCTACCTGTGAAGTTAAAAAGTTTAAATGAGCTAATACATGTATAGTACTTAGAACAGTACCAGGCACATAATAAGTAGTTTATAAGTTAGTTACCTAATATTATCTTTAATCCTTGTAACAATTTAGGCGGTGTAAGTATCATATGACCCATTTGAGGAAGCTGTGGCCTGGATCGGCCATGACCAATCACACAGAATGTATATGGCAGAGCTGATCATCATCTGACTATTAAGTCTGGGGCTTTTGGCAGTTCTACTTTTTCCTCTCAATCCAGTATTTTCCATCATCCCACAAAGTATTAAGTTGATAGGAGATGTCATTCCTCACTGGGGATTATTTATGAACTGAGCCTTGTGCCTTGAGCCTTGTTCCTAACAGTTTGAGTAGCAGAAAGGATACTGGCAACACTTCAGATACAGGGAATAACTCAAGCAAGACCCAAAGGTAGGAGAGGGCTAGGAATGATCCTGCTTACACCTGTATAATGGGAGGCTTCCAGCACATTCTTTCTAGCACCCTAAAGTCAGTCATTCTCTTGTGTTCCATTTCAGGGATCCCCTTGACGGAGCGGAAAGTATTGATACCCAGTTGCTGTGTATCCTTTGCAACAGCTGATGAACCATCTCCTATATTCACCCACGTGGTTGAAAACACAGATTCCCCCATCTGGAATTTTCAACAGCAGTCAAAGTTTGTATTTTATGATATTCCATCAGTCTTCTAGAATCTGCTTTTTGTTTTAAGAGACACAAACAATATTGAGCAGACTGGGAAAATGATTTTATCAAGCAGTTATTTAATCCTGGTGCTTATTAATTCACAGCTAGTAACAGTTTAAAGGCTTTACTGCAGTAGGTTTTCTTTTACTCTTTCTGAGCTCTTTTGAGCTCAGTACAACTAAAAAATTATTCAGTGAAGACCTCTTAGATGCCCCACTTCATTCTAGGGACTGGGAATGAAAGATGGTTGAGACAGCCCCTGTTATTGAGGTGTTCGTGGTCTACCTGGGAAAATACACAATAGAATGTGGCAAGTGCTGTAAAAGTAGTAAAAAATAATTCTCATGCATCTCAGAAAGATTATTAGACCAAAGTAGAAGTTCAGGGAAGGCTTCTTAATATAATTCAGTTGAGTATTGAAGAATGTACACCATTTATTTAGGTGAAGAAGGCAGAGCAAACCAGTCTCAGGAAAGACTATAGATTATGTATCCTTGAAAAAGATTTCTGGTGCAGTAGAAAGAGCCTGGGCTTTGCACCTAGAGAGACATGGCAACCAACCCCATCTCTGTCATTTATTAGCTGTATGGACAAATTACATTATATCTCTGAGCCTCAGATTCCTCATCTATAAAGTGGGGTTAATTTTTACAGAGTTACTGTGAGGTCCAAATTAGATGACATTTAGGAAAATGACCTCACAGTACATAGCAAGCACTCAACAAATGTTAGATCTCTTTTGGAAGGCTCAGAAGAATTGGAGGTGGAGTCCTGTGAGTCCTCTTGGTGTGTGGCTCAGAGGTAAGGGGCTGACATACAGGCCCGGTGCTGCAATGCAAGGCGCAGCCTCCCTTTTTATCTGTCACCTGTGTCATCATCATTAAAATTGTGAGTTCTAGTGTAACTACTGTTACTATTGTCTTTATACTGCATCACCTTTATAAAGTTTCTTTCTTGTCCACCGGCAGTAGTCACACCGTATGGTATCTGATCTGCTATTTTCTCATAGTATTTACACACCTAATTGATCCTCAGCACTTGTTCACATGTTCAGTGTTTTGAAATTTAAGAGGCTGACCTGAGTTAGGAGCTATCTATGGTGAGCTACTGGAAATTACAGAAATTCTGGCCCTAATGGCCAGGTACTTCATCTAAAATATCAAATCTGCCTTAAAAGGCAGCAGGCCAGAGGACTAAGCTTCTAAGTGAAGATGCTTTATTCATTCAGAAATTAACTTGATGAAGTGACATTGACAGACTCCTAATTTCATTCCCTCACTTTATTTTTTGTTAACTTTTTTTTTTAAGTTTTATTTATTTTGTGTGTGTGAGAGAGCGAACACAAGTTGGGGAGGGGCAGAGAGAGAGGGAGAGAGAGAATCCCAAGCAGGCTCTGCGGTCTCAGCAAAGAGCTCAACACAGGGCTGGAACCCACAAACTATGAAATCAAGAGGCAGTTGCTTACCTGACTAAGCCACCCAGGCACCCCCATCACCTCACTTTAAAGTTAAGACTGTGGACCAGGGAGGTTACATAGTCTGTTGGAAGCAGAGGAAATCTTAGAAGAAAAATGAATAATGGTGCTGTTTACAGTTGCTTTATCACAAAATTGTTTCACTGATGCTCCTAGTAACCTTGTAGGTAGAAAATAATTTTCCCATTTAACAGGTAGGAAAACCAGGGCTCAAAAAGTCTGAGTTTCCAGGGCCACTCAAGTGATAATAGTAGAGCTGGAATTCAGAGGTAGATATTTTGACCATGAGCTAGACTACAGATTTTTGACATAGTATTTACTTCACTTTATCACAGTGTCTTTCATTGGTCTTAAAGTGGGCTCACTTCAGTTCCCCCATGGTGTCTAGGGAAGGAAAGTAAGTCTCTTGGTTTTCCCTGGATCTCCTGGAACAATGGTACCTGGTTTTGAATTTTCCAAATCTTTGTAATTTAAAATTATATAAGTTACTTCATATAAAATGTATTAGAGGTACTCACTGAAATCCACATCAACTTCTTTATCTTGTATGAAAATTGGGCACTCTCTTATTCTGTATACTTTGGCTTTGGAGTCAAGCAAACTAGGGTTTAAATCCCAGTCCTGCCGCTCATGGACTCTCATGTGACCATGAGCAAATCACTTGACCTCTCTGAGCCCATCTTTATCACCTGTAAAGCAGGGATAATAATGCCAATGTCTAGGTTTTTGTGCAGATTACATGTACACGAAGCATTAGGCACCATGCCTGGCCTGGGGTGGGTACTCAATAGATGTTCTTTTTCCCCTCCTCCTCCCTTCTTACCATTCCCATGTCCATGTCACATAAAAAGAATTCCTACCTGCTCCAATAAAACTATCCATTACCTCTTGAGGAGCTCCCTTTCCTCACCCCTCTTGTCCTGAGAAACAAAGTTTGAATGTGACAGATACTATCAGGCAGGAAAGTACTGCATCAGGGGACCTGCGTTCAAGTCTTGGCAGGTTATTTCTCTCTGAGCTTCCATCCCTCATTTTAACTGTGAAGATAAAAATGTATCTTAGAAGATGACCATGAAAATGTTAGGAAAGTGCTTTGCAATCTATAAGATATTCTTCAAATCTAAGTTTCATACTGCAGAAGCTTCCTACACAGTTAATTTATGGTGGTGGTTTTTCTTAACAGGCTATCAAAAGAGCTTCTTTTGGATCCACAACAAACTCTGGTCTTCAAAGTTTGGCATAAAGGAGGTATGAACTCTGTTCTGTGAATGTCTGTCTGGTTGTGAAAATTTGCTCACATCTTGTTGACAATTCCCAATCCTTTTCTTTTTTTAACCAAGTGAACCCATGACACTTAACGGTGCAGGGAACGCATGTATATGTTAGAGGGATTCTCAAAGAATGCTACATTATTCTCCTACTGAATTTAAATCCTTAGAAGCCATATCATTTTGTTTGACTATCTGCTTAGTGCAGAAATCCAAGTACATTTAATCTTTCCAGTTGTATCTCAGGAGTGACAGTATACAGCCTGCCATATACAAGTGATTTCTCCCCCTTTGTGTGATGTTACACCTTCTGTTGACTCTAGCTTATTAACCAAGAACCTAGCATTTTTAAGGAGTACACAAGACTAGAATCTTGTTCTAAGAACCTCCCCAAGATGGGTACTGACATCATGGTCCCTGAACCTAGTTTTAGTCAGCGACCATTATTAAGAGGCATAATTCAACAACATTAAGAGCACAGACTCTGAAGCCACACTCTTGGGATTCAAATACCAGTTCTACCCCTTATAAGGTAATGTGACCTTGGGTGAATGACTTAATTTCTCTGTGCTTCAGTTTCTTTATTTGTAAAATAGTACCTACCTAGGGGGGAAAACAGATGAGTTCCTGATACTTAGTAAAACCTTCTCAGTTTTTATTACTCTTATTAGTGAATGGCAGTATGCTGAGAGCTTTCCAAAAGTCTCTAATCCTGCAAGATAAAAATATAATTAGTTAAATGTTATAAATTTAACAGCTGAAGCCCAAGGCAATTTAGGGGCTTGACTAAGGTCTTAATGCTTAGTAATCAGTGGAGTCAGGATTTGAACCCATTTCTGACTGGCTGTACAGCTTTCACCTTTTGTACTTCACCATGCTAGTAAAATTGGATGAGAAAAGTGAGCAGATGAGGACATCCAGTTATGTCACAGTTTCTGTGCATAAATCTAGCTCCTTTAACATTCTTGTTAGGACCTTTTACACATTTTTTACACTCTATTTGGCAGTGGTAAGTTTGAGAGCTAACCCTAGAGCCTAATAAAGACCTGAGAGTAGTCAGTGTGTAAAAGAAATTGACTTACCTGTCTCTCCTCCTGTGCTTCGGTTTGGAAATGATGCTGTGAATCTGGTTTCAATGATTTGTCCCATGCTCCTGCCTTAGATTTACTTATCATGTCCCCCACCCACACCTAACCTCATAAATGTGGCCGGAAGTGATTATAAATCCATTTTTTCTGAATCAATGCAAGGAACTCCTGCTATATTTAACTAGGCTCCACCTTCCTCCCTGGCTTTCTGTTCTTCTCTTTTCTCTAAAACACTTCAGAGATTGTAAAGCAGACTGTGGTTTGCCTCAATCCAGGACTTATTATAGCAAGAAAAAAAGAGTAAGCTTTGGTCTTAATGCAGACCTGGATTCAAATCTTGGCTCTGCCATTTATGAACTACATAACCTAAGGTAAAACACTTTATGTCTTTGAGCCTTTGTCTCCTTATTAATAAAATTAGGATAAAAGTATCTGTCCTACAGGATTTTTATGAGGATTAGAGATAATATTTATAAAGTATTTGGCACATGGTGGGGTGGTGCGTGGGTGGTGGGTGGCTCAGCCAGTTAAGCATCCGACTCTTGGCTTCAGCTCAGGTCATGATCTCATGGTTCGTGTGTTTGAGCTCCATTGGTGCTCTGTCCTGACGGTGCAAAGCCTGCTTGGGATTCTCTCTCTCTCCCTCTATCTCTGTTCCTCTCTTTCAAAATAAATAAACTAACATTTAGAAAAATAACGTATTTGGCACATAATTGGTGCTTAATCAATGGAGCTATTTTTACTACACCTACAGTATCAGGTACTGTGCTAGGGCTATTTGGTATAGAAAAGACCAAAATACATTCCTTATCTTTTGGGACCCCTAGAGAATCCTATAAATCCCTGCTGTAAATGGAGATGTGGAAAATGCCTAAACCCAATGAACCACACTTATTTAGTTCTGTCTCTTAATGAAGGTAGATGCCTGTCTTCCCTTAACTCCATCCTTTCCACCAAGCCTCAGTTATGCAAAAGGTACTCAAACCAGGCCAACCTGTATTCACTAAATACTTGAGTTCCTACTCTGTGTACTATGCTAAATGCTAGGGATTCAAAGAAAAGCATACATGGTCTCTGTCCTCACAGTTAGTATGATTAGGCAAATATAGGGTACTCTGTTAGGGGATATCTAACTCAGACAGGATTGCAGAGAAGGCTTCCTGGAGCACACTTCAGCTGAGAAATCAAGGGTCATGACATAGTATAGTCAGAGGGAACAGCAGATACAAAAGTCTGGAGTAAAGAAAGAGTATGAAGGAAGTTTGAGATCATTAGAACACAAAACTACAAAGAAAGAATGATGGGTTGTCTCTCTCAGTCTGATACTAAACTGAGCTCTTCAAAGCTATTGTTTTTCTCCGTGATCAACTTAGCCTGATTTCTCCCCAGGTATGTTTAAGATGTAGTGCTTTCATATTAGCCAGGACCCTAACATTACAGTCTATCAAGAACAGGTTCTACTTGGATAACCAAATAAAGCAAGATTACTTTTCATTGCAAAGCTATAAAAAAATTCTTTGGAGTGCAAATTAATGGTTCTAGCCAACACTCTTCACTCCCATTGGGTAGGAATTACTTGACTCCTACTCTGGGTAACACAACTTCAAACATCCCTAGAGTCTAAGACTTTACCTTGGAAGTTGAAGGGGATCTTAAGTACTTAAAGAAGTACTTAAATTCAGTACTTCTCATTGTATATATGAGACTTGAGATTTAGGGAATTAAAGTAATGTGTTTTCAGTCAAAGCCAAAGTCAGATTAGCTATTGTAATGCACCGCCTCTCTGTCCCACTCTATGTTGGCCAAGTCATTTGCGTTCTCAGTGGATGTTTATCAACTTCTTCATGATGTAAGAAGATTTATGCCAGGAACAGAGAGTGTAGGGAACATAAAGCAAGTGATATTTGGTCTCAGGTTTCAGGTAGGTCCCAGTCTAAAGAAGAGTAAGCTGTCTAAACAAATGTTAGACAGTGTTTGATGAGTTCAGTATCACCAGTGTGCACAAGAAACTGGGAAACTCCTCTTAAAATTTTTACATTCCTGGATTTATTTAGCATATTGAAAACTTGAGAATTGTGTCCCATGTTTGGTAGAATCAGCCTTTGATATTGTTATAGGGGATGGAGCCTATACAAAACAAGAACTTATGGAATGATGGGGTCTGTTTGTCCCCAGATACTTTCATGTCAGAAATGAGGAACAGGGAGCAGTGAGTCAGAACAAGAATCATTGCATGGTTGCTTGTCCATCCAAGAAGGGGTCCCCTTAATGGCAGCCCCCTTATAAGCCTGAGCCCAAGCTCTTATTTTGCACTGCTTCCTGGTTTTCCAGGGGGTTGGCTTTCTTTTGTGATTTGTGTCACTTTTGTTCTTAATTAAATATAATACATGTGTATGTTATAGAGAATTTGGAAAATACAGACAAGTATAAATTGGAAACTGTAAATCCCTCATAATTCCAAGGGTGATGGTCTTTCAAATGATTTTTTTCAAGACCCACTGCCCTGACGAAGATCACTGAGACATGATAACATAGTGAAAAGAACAAGTGTTTCTTATGTTTAAGGGTCATTTTCCAATTGTCTATATCAAGAGGACAGAACTCAATTCTGCTAGCTTTTCCCTGCCATACAAAAAGGGAATTCATAATAGTGAAAGCAGGTTGTGGTTGCCAGTCTCCTTCCTCCCCATTATCTGTCTTTTCTTTTGATTTTGGTATCACTGAACTACCCCACCCCAACCTCCCCCCTCCCCCCACTACTGCCCAGGCCTCTGAATCAGCTATTCTCTGTGCAGCCTCTAATATCAGTGGCAAGACATGCCCAGCCACACTGCCCAACTCTTCTCTTTTCCCCCCACAGATGAGGAGAGGGTGATTGGCTTTGCCTCAGTGGACCTCTCCCCACTTCTCTCTGGCTTCCAGTTTGTCTGTGGCTGGTACAACATCACAGATTTCAGTGGAGAGTGCCAGGGGCAGATAAAAGTTGCTGTCTCCCCTCTGGAAAATTTGATGCACTTTAAAGAAGAAAAACAATCAAGACGTGGAATGGAGACCCCAGGATTACGGGTACATATCCTAATTCATACTCTTATCCAGTAAAGGTTTTACTGAAAATCTATAAGAAGATCCTTTACATGTGTTTGGTACTTTCCAGCTTACAGAACACATTATGTATTTGTGTCTCATAATGATCTCATGACCTTTTTAGGGTGATAAAAATTACACAGTGGTGTACATAGTGGAATTACATAGTGGTGATGAATTCACAACTCTGAATATACTGAAAACCACTTAATTGAACATTTTTAAAGGGTGAATTTTATAATACATTAATTATATCTCAGTTAAAATTTTTTTTACTAGAGTATATAGTTGACACACAATGTTACATTAGCTTCAGGTATACAATATAATGATTTGAGAAGTTTATATATTATGCTATGCTCACAAGTACAGCTACCATCTGCCACCATACAGTGTTGTTACAATACCATTGACTGTATATTCTCTATGATGTGCCTTTTATTCCCGTGACTTATTGATTCCATGACTGAAAGCGTGTATCTCCCACTCCTCTTCACCCATTTTGCCTTTTCCCTCCCCTCTAACAACCATCAGTTGTTCCATGGTCTCACAAATGGCTGTATCTCAATTTTTAAATAAAATTATTTGCAGCATGGAGTTTGGAGTTTGAAATCATATTGGCTGAAGTTTTCAAAAATTCTGTTACATTAAAACCATTAGTCTGTCTTATTTAAAAAAACAAAAAGGGGAATCAATGATAGCAAATACAGACCACTCTTTCAGGGAGTTTAACTATAAAAGACTGTCACAGGCAAGGGAACTCTATCAAAGTAAAGATTGTGGAGGGTTTTTTTTTTTTTTATCATCATGGATGTCTGCCCCAGGGTCTGACAGAGTGTGCATCAGTAAATATTGAATCCATGAATGAATGCATGAGAAAGTGACAAAATTAAACAGTCCCTGTATAAGAAGGTCTTTTCTTCATACCAACCCTGGTAGTCATGAGACAAGAAATACAACAGCCAGATCATCCTCACGTGTAAAATAAAATGATATCTGTCTAGGAGTTCACAAACTAACTGGAGGAGCAGGAACATAAATACAGATAAAGCAACTAAAAAGCAATCTGATAGCATAGTGTGTAAAACAGGGGTAATACTAGTACCTACCTTATAAGATGATTGTGAAGTTTAAATGAGAAAATGCACGCAAATTGCTTAGTACAGCCTTCAACACACTGAAAGTGCTCAGTAAATTATATTTATCTACTTACAATAAATTTTTACAAATCTATTTATACTACTTTGTTCCAAACGAATTTGTGGTGACAAGTGTACCATTTTTCCCATTGATTCTATAGATCCCAATAAACAGCCCCTTTTCCTTCCCTGCTTCTGATATGTATGCTTCATTCCCTGGCTGCACTGCAAGATGGACCCCAGCACAGCCTGCTCACACCTCATCAAGGGGACTTGATTTCTCTTCTCCTGGGAGGTGAGTGAATTTTTGGGAAGAAACAGTCAGAGAGTTGGAAGTATACTAACAGAACTGACTTGTCATTCCTCTTGCCTTTCTTTCTTTTATTATTTTTTATTTATTT